TCTGTCTGGCTTATTTCACTCAGCATAATGCCCCCTATGTCCATGCATGTTGTCACAAATAACAAGATTTTATTCTTTTTTATGGCTAATAATCCATTTTATATACATATAACACTTTCTTTATCCATTCATCCATTGATGGGCACTTAGGTTGTTTCCATATCTTGGCTATTGTAAATAAGGCTGCAGTGAACACGGGGGTGCATATATCTTTTTGACTTAGTGTTTTTGTTTTCTTCAGCTAAATAACCATAGGTGGAAATCGCTGGATTCAAGCTCTTTTTAAAATCTCCCAGTGAGATATATAGTCTTTTGCTATAACAGAGCAGCTGCCAGTTATGAGCATTTAATATATGCCAAGTGCTTTCCATACATTTACTCATATCTATTATTACGCCTACCCCACAAAGTCTATGTGCCACGCTTTGCATGCGTTCACTCATTTAATCCTCACAACAACTGATGCAGTAGGTCTCGCATCCCCATTTTACAGATGAGGAAAACGAGAGTTTCAATTCCTGCTGTTAGCCCAGGTTCACACAGGTGGAAAATGGTGAGTTGGCAGGCAGACAGTCTGACTCCAGAGTCACAACCCAATACTGCCTCCTCAGATTGAGTAACGTTCCTTGGCCATGCCAGCTGTTAAGTAAGAGCCTAAATCAAACCCAGGCAGTCCAATTCCAAAATCCTGGCATTTTACCACCACACATACTGGTTAAAAGGAGGTAAACTACAAATCACAACACATGTTTATTTTCATTTCTGATTGTAGAGTGGTAGGTTACATGTTTATCACATAATTTAGGCTTGCCTAAAAATTCTAAGTTTTTTTTTTAATTAAAAACGAGGGTCTAAAAAAAAGATTTAAAAAAACAAAACAAAAAACAAAAAAACCAAGGGTCTGGTCAGGAGAATGTCTTTTTATACTGAAGGCTTTGACTTGGCCCCAAAGCTGATGTTAAGGCTTTCTTTGAACACACACACACACACACACACACACACACACACACACACACACACAGAGAGAGAGAAAGGGGCGGGGGTGGGGGATTTTAGTTATACCCAGTAGGAATCCAGGCTTTGGACATAGAGACAAGAAAATGACAAGAGCATGCAGACAATAGTAAATTCTGGTTATACTTGTGAAAAGTCAGTGAGAATTTGGCTCTGAACAAGGAAAATTAAGCGTCCAGGGACTTACTTCTGACTTATACCACCTTTCAGGGTGAACTCATCCAGGGCCTTCAGTGCCATCTTTAAAATGAAAATAAAATGTCTATCACCATGGTCCAGACTGTTCATAAACAACTATGGATTCTGAAAGTGCTTGGTAGTTTCCTCTTTACAAGATTTGTGACTGGTGTCATGTACAAATAGGCCTTTAATAATAATTTCTGCATGTGATCATTTTCAAGAACTCTGATGAGGCCCAGGGACCCAAAGTTTTTCTCTACAGAGAGAAGGCCATTGGCCTCACCTTCTCCGCTTCTGCATTCCTCCCTCTTCCTAGAATTTCCCCCTGAGGTTGGAGGGGAAACCTGAACTCCAAAATCAAGCCTGGCTTCTTTCCCTTTCCCTGACCCAAGGCAAAATAGTCTTTTGATCCAATAATCATTGGAAAGGCACTTTCTCTGTGCAGAGTAATCGTGGCACTTTACAGGAGGCCAGTTTAACCGCAGGAGTCCGATTTTTGAAAGATGCTGAGGGAGGGAATTCTGCAGCCAGCAGATGGAAAGGAGACTCAGACCAGCTTGGACCCTCCCAATCACCCTCCCTCCGGGATTAGCTGCCCTGACACTGCTCAGGCGTACCCAGCCCTTGTGGTCCCTGCTCGCACAGTTCCAGTCGCCTCTCTAGAGCGCGCACGCAGTCACAAGCCCGCAGCCAGAACAGCCGCGCTGTCCCGGGCATCCCCGCGCACCGCGTCGGCGGACCTGGGACCTCGAACCCCGGACGCGCGCGAAAGCCATTCGGAACGCTTGCATTTCTGTACGTGCTTATTTCACATTCTTGTCTTTTCTTTCTTCCCTGAGCGGCCCGCTCGTTACTTTCAGTCTTAGTTAACCAAAAGGGAAACGCCGAAGAGGGGGGACGCTGAGAATGATTTAGAGACAACCCAGCCGCCTCTCCAAGGAGAGGTGTTCAAGGAGCGACTCTCCCCGTCCCCGGCGCGGGCCCCTTTAAGAAGCCAAGTCTGTCCTGCTGCTGCTGCTACTGTTTGTATTGCAAATCCCCAGGAGCCCCGTTTTTTTTTTAAAAAAAAAAAAAAGGAAGAAAAAAGGGGGGGCGGGCAGCTGTCTCTTTAAATGTGATTTCCTTCTATTGTATTTGAATCGTGATCAGGAAAAAGGAAATGAAACCAGAGACAGAGGGAAGCTGAGCGAAAATAGACCTTCCCGAGAGAGGAGGGAGCCGGGGGAGAAAGGCAAGGTCCCCTCCCCGCCCCCGGGCCGCCGCCCCCTCCCTGCCCTCAGCGGCGAGCTGCGCGCCGCGACCCGGGCCGAAGGTGTGAGGGGAGAGGGGCGGCCCGGCGGGCGCGCACCATCCCTGCGGGCGGCGCGGAGCCGGCGACAGCGCGCGAGCCGAGCCGAGCTGCACCGGGTGGCGGCGGCGGGACCGGGATGGAAGGTTAAGTCCTGAGCAGCCCAGCTGCTGCTGCAGCCGCCCCGGGCCAGGCTGCGCGCCCCGGTCCCCGCCTCGGCCTCGGCGCGCCGGCAGCCCGGTGATTCGCTCTCTCTCTTTGGCGTTTGAAGGGAGCGCGGTGACTGTCCTTGAGCGCGGAGGGGCGAGCTCGCCGCCAGAGCGCCGGAGCAAGAGGAGGCGCAGGAGCGGCGGCGGCGGCGCCGGAGCACCCGAGGGGGTCCGAGCCCCGGCAGCCGGCCAGTACCGCGCCACAAAGGGAGCGCCCCCGCCGCCTGGCACGCCACCTCCCTCCCCAATGTCCTCGGCCATCGAAAGGAAGAGCTTGGACCCGTCTGAGTAAGTGTGGCGCTCCTGCCCCTGCGACCCACCGTGTCCTCGGCCTCGCGCCCCGGGGCGGCAGGGTGGCGCCGGTGGCCAGCGCGAAGGCTCCAGGTGCGCGCCCGCGGGGTGCCCTTGGTTCCCTCCGCTTTGCGCGGGGGCTCCCCCCTGGCTTGCGGGTGACTCCGGGGGCACCGGGAGAGGGGATGAGCGGCAGGCGGCAAGGAGACGGGGTCAACCCGGCGCCTCTGTGGGCCCCTCTGGGCTACCTGGAACACTCCCCAAAGCCGCCGCGGGCCAGAAAGTTTACACGCGAGCAGACACAAGGGGAGCTCGGAGGCTTCGAGGTGCCGTCCCGAGAGCGTTCAGGGCTTGATTCTTCTCCTTTTCCCCCTCTCCTTCTCAGTCCCCTTTCTCTTTGTCCATTTGGTCCTGGACAGGGGGACGTTCTAAGTGGAGTCACCCTGAGTGTCCAACAGCCCCCTTCCCGGCCCGCAGGTTGAGCAGCCGCCAGCAGTCAAAGACCTGCTGATGAAGGCTGCGGGCGTCCACCTCGGAGCTCGCTTTGGCCTGCAGAGACTTTTAGAGCAGCTAAATCCGGAGTTAATCTGGGTGCATGTCCCCTGTCCTCTCGGGGCCCACCGATGGGTGCCTGTGAACCTCACAAGTTAGTGCACATTTTTGTGTATAGGTGAATTTTTCCGGAGAGCAGAGGCTTAGAGCTTTTAACAGTCTAAAAGGGTTTGGAGTCAGGGAACCAGAGCTTTAATGACCACTTGCCGCATTTGTTTCCTGAGTCTCTTACTGGTTTGAAGTGTTTCCCTATTCCCAACCGATCTACCTCCAGCTCATTCCTTGGTGTTAACTGGGGGAGAAAGGGTTGTTTAAGATATTTTCCCGTCAGCACAAATGCCCTTTTAAGATTCATTAGCTGTCTGGTTTTGAGAAATTTTATTCCTTTGAAGTCCCCCATCTAATCCTTTGAAGGGATTTGTTACACAGACCAAAGGAGCTGGTTAATGACTTGTCCATTTGTGCTTTTAAGAGGCATTTGTTTTGTTTTGTTTTCTTTTCCTGCTTTAAAAGAATTGTGCTTCCCAGATTGAAGTTTCCCCCCACCCCCACCCCAGTTTCAGCTTTCTGTGGTGTTTATATACCTGGGTTTTACCCTCAGTTACCAGCATAAAAGCTCAGCATGTTCTCATAAAACACAGGAAGTACCATGATCCAATGAGATACATAAACGTCGCTCTAGTTCTAGAAGGAGCTAGGTTTGTTATAACAAAACCCAGCTTCCTTAAATTCTCAGGAGAAAAANAGCTCCAGGTCGAGCTGTTGTTCACCATCTTAGCTGTAGAGGGCGCAGCATCACTGGCCCTCATGTGGGATCCAAACTGGGGCCCTGCTGCTCAGAGCTGGCATCCCAAGCCAACTCCTAACCAATGCACCACTTGGCCGGCCCTCAGAGAATCTTTTTAACAGCTCCACGACATAGGTACTCTGAATATGCCTACTTTACAAATGCAAAAGCTCAAGTCCAGAAAGGTCGAGCGACATGCCCAAGGTCAATAAGTACAGAGCTGCTGTAGTTGAAGCAGAGGCAGGTGAAGCCTACTAGGGAGGCGCTGCAGAGCCCCAGGGAGCAAGCTGGGAAATCCCATTTCTGAAGTCTCTTCCACGAGGACATTCTATGAGCTTCACTCTGCTATGACCTTGGCGTAGAACTGTGACATTTGTGTCAGTTACTTCAGCACTTGATTTTGCCTCTTGTCTTTGTTGTAAAAGGTGATTTAGGAGTTGCTGGAAGAGGGAAAACCAGATGAATAAAATCAGGGATGTGGCGAAAGCAAACAATGTAGTAGGGAAGCAATGATGCTGTCAGCAGCCTACCAAGGACCTAAATGGGCACAATCCTGCATTTCTGGTTGAAAACTGTGGGCTCCCCAAGCTGATGTCTTAGGCACACTGTAGCTCTTTCTACAGCACCTCAGTCTCAGCGTTCTTCGGTGGATGTACTGACTAGCTGAGAGATTGTTGCTTCCTGATCCAGTGATGATTACTTCTGAAAGATGGGGGTAATAACAAAGCTATCATTTCCGAGCATTGACTATGCACCATCACTGTGCAAATCATTTTTACACACATTGTCCTACTGAGTCCTCTCAACACTCCCGTGAGGTGAACCAGCATCCCAGTGGCCTCATCCTAGTCCTGGCCCTACTGAGTGTTACGATTACCTTCATTTGACAGATAGAGAAACTGAGGTTCAGAGACATGAAGTAGCTTCCCCCAAATTACACAGCTAATAAACAGATGAACTATGTTTGTCTGACAGCTATGCTCATTCTCCTAAACTCAGTTGATATGGATTTTTTTTTTTTTACATATTTTGGGGCTCTTTTTTTTTTTTAATCAGTAAGGTTATTAGCAGGTCAAACATTCTGTGCTAACATATCCATCAACCGGCCCTGAAATGTTCTGAAATAAGTTTGGGAGTCAGGTGCCTGTGAGAATTGAGTAGTTTAAAATTTTTTCACAAGAACGGAAGCCATATATCAAAACAACTCTTTATTTTTGTTCTTATATGTGAATGTCACAACTAACAGGCATATCGTGTGACTTGGCTTCTAATGGTTGGAAAAGAAATGAAAGAAGAAAATTGTCATTCCTGGCATTTTCCCAATGACATTTGCATTTTTATTTCTATTAGAAGTCCAAAGAAATGTAGCCTTCGTCACTTGAAACGGCTCTTCCCTAGAAAACAATCATAAATGTAATAAGCAAACAGAATAGAAAATGCCAACAGGAAAGGAGTACTCCACCTGGGCTCAGATTCATCATACAGAGCGATTCAGTCTTCCTCTGACATTCACATTCCGGAAGGAAAACTTGGAAATTTTCTAAATTTTAGGGTATTTAAGATTTGCGAGGGGTGAGAGAGGGGAAGCAGGAATTAAATTACAATTCCACTGGGTAAGAATCAAGCACAGATCTCCCCAACCTTCAAAAACCATTTTACATGTTTGAATCACCTCATAGTTACTGAGCCCCTCTTCCGCATAAAATGGAAAGATACAATAAGGTCATGATTGCTTTAAAATATTCACAATAAAACCACATTTTGAGACTTGATTCTAAATGTTAAACTTAAATTTGAGCAATTTAATTGCCCATTGAATAGAAATGAAATCCCACCGGTAGGCAGTTATTTCTTCCGACCACTGTGTGTGAAATTGAAATCTTAAGATACCATTTCAAATATTCACTTCTCTAAGGAAGTTCTCCCCAAAGAGTTATGAAAGATAAGAAACTAACCCAAAGTCATAGGCAGTAATCGCTCTTTCTTTACACTTGGGTCAAAACAGAAGCATATTATTAAAAGGAAACTTTATGTGCCAAAATCGGCCGTTCAATGGTTACCTCCTGGAACCCAAGGATATATTTATTTTAACAACTAACTTGAGGCCCATACAAAACTGTAGCAAGGAAAGTAGCAACTTATCAGATTTAATCAAAGCAAGCAGATGCAAACATATCATCTAGTCACCAAGATAATGAACATTAAAATGGAAAATGCTTATATGTTTTGTTGAGCAGCAATAGGAGGTAAGGTAAAGGGACCCTACTCTGTTGGCTTTTTAAAAAACAGGAAATTGTTTTGTAATTTGGGTGGAAAATTCTTATCTGAAACTCCCATTTCACCTTTAAATGTAATTTCAAGCTTGCTTTGTTTGTTTGTTTACTTATTTATTTATGAGGTATAATTGACATACAACATTATATTAGTTTCAAGTGTAAAACATGATGATTGAGTATTTTTATATATTGTGAAATGATTTCCACAATAAGTCTAATTAACATCTGTCACTATACATAGTTACAATTTTTTTTCTTGTGATGAGGACTTTTAAGATCTACTCTCTTAGCAACTTTCAAATATGCAATATAGCATTGTTAACTATAGTCACCAGACTGTACATTACATATCCAGGANCCAGGTTGATAGACACAATTGGAAGAGGCAGAGAGGACTAGGGAGGATTTTGTACTAACTGCAGAAATGATTGCTACTTACTGAGCACTTAATATGTGCCAGGCACTGTGCTCTGCCTGCTGCAAACATTATCTCAGTTATGCCTCCTAACCCTATATTTATCATTCTCTCTATTTTATCATTGTAAGCACTGAAGCACAGAGATTTGCCTAAGATTAATTACCCAGATAGTAAGTTGTGAAGCAGAGACTCGAAACCAGGTTTATTTATCTCCAAAGCCTCTACTAATGTAGTACCAACGTTTTGAAACACAGACAGTGCAGCCATCCAGATATTGAGAGCAGGATAAGACATTGCATAGAAACGGGCACACGCAGGGTGTTTGAGCTCAAGAAGGTGCAGCCTGGCTGAACGGCAAGGCTCAGGCTCTAAGGGTGTGGGATACAAACTTGAATCCATATAGAAGGCAGGATCACAGGGCGCCTTTAATGGAAACATGGGCATTTGGTCTTGATCTGCCAGAAGGACAGGATCACACACACACAGCTGCAGCTCTAACCTTCCAGCCCACCTATAAAAATGAGGACACTGAGGTCCTAAAAGTTAAGCAACTTATTACAGGCAATAGGGAACTATTGCAAATTCTTGAGCAGGGTGGTGACAGTGCAGAAAACAGTATTCCAGATAGGTTCGCTTTGGCATTAAGATAAATGAAGGGCAGCTGAAGGGAAGCAGAGACAAGCTTGCAGCTCTTTCCCTGGTTTTTGCTGAAGGGCACCTCCCTGAGCAATGGGTATTTCTAGGGAGCATCATAGATAAGATGAGATTCCCGCTGAGATTTGAAGCTTAGGAAAGCAAGCGTCATTACGAGGGTCAGAATCGCCTTCCCCGCCAAGCTCAATACATTCCGCTAGGACACGAGTGCTGGAAAACACAGCTTCCACAGAAGCAGCCCGGCCCCTTCCTCCAATGGAAGGCCTGCCTGGAGTACAGTGTCGTAGACCAGAGACCCCCAACCCTGAAG